GTATGATAATTATTGTGCTCTCCTTCTATGTTCCTCATTAACCTGTAACACTCTCTACCAGTCCAGAGAGTTTTTCCCAGCCTTGTGCTTCCCAAGACTGGAACTTGCTGGGCTTTGTTTAACATTCAGCCCAGCGTTGTGGGCATTTCCACTGCCGGGCTTTCTGCTGCTTCTGTCATCTGCTTTGTACTTGGAGGCTAATTAGCAGCACTTCCGACTGCCACTGATGTCCATTATGGAAATGTTTTCCTACACTTTCACCTACAGGATGTGTTTTAATTGAATATCTACTAAATAATATTACAGGGAAGGTAAACCAGGCCAAAGTTGTCTAATTTATTTAAGGCTGGTTAACGGAGACGGTGACATTCCGGAGCCTGGTTGTGTTTGTTGGGAATGCAAACAGGGAGGTTTCACTCCTTGTGAAGGGAACAGGAGGAGGAATCCCACCCACCTGGCCAAAACCAGGGAAAAAACTCAACCAAATCCTGCTCCAAGTTTTGGAATTCCAAGGAATTGCACATGATGGTGTCCTTGGAATCGCCAGGTTGAGCTGAGGAGTGGCTTTAAGGCAAGCGGGACAGAGGAATCAGCTTTGGGATTTTCATACCCAACCTGAAGCCTCCCTGAAAAAGAAACAGATTTGGGGTGGTTATTTTGTCTTGTGATTTTTGGGATTTCCATACTCAGCCTGAAGCTTCCTTGAAACAAAACCAGGAGATTTGGGGTGGTTATTTTATCTCTTGTGATTTTCCTACCCAAACTGCAGCTTCCTTGAAACAAAACCAGATTATTTGGGGTGGTTATTTTATCTTTTGGGATTTTCATACCCAGCCTGAAGCCTCCCTGAAAAAGAAACAGGTTTGGGGTGGTTATTTTATCCCTTGTGATTTTTGGGATTTCCATTCCCAACCTGAAGCTTCCTTGAAACAAAACCAGGAGATTTGGGGTGGTTGTTTTATGTCTTGTTTACCTAAGAAATGCAATGTTTTTGTTGGGTCTTTTTGAAAATACTGCTTTTCTCAACACTGTATTTTGGGGTTTTCCCTCTGTGTTTAATTTCTGTATTGATATTGCATAATATCTTGGACTTTACTCTCTGAGACAGGGTTATTCTATATTTCCCCCCCTTGAATATTTGATAAAGTCTCTTGGGTACTGATTTTCCTTCTTTCTAGGATAAGATGTTATGGAAATTGTTTCACCTTGTGTCCTGTTTCAAGTCCCTGGTTTTAGCATGATTCAATTTGCTTTGCATTATATTCCACCAAGTTCCTTGGCAGTTCCAAGTTTTTCCTGTGTTTGTGTAGGGGGAGACTTTGGCTTTCCCTCCTGCTTTTGCAGAGTGAGATTTATAGGATCTTCTTGGGTCTTTGTTGCATTTAAATTTATCAGTAATTTAAGCTTCCTGTTGAGATAAATTATTTGGGTTATTGGAGTGAGGGATCCACTGGGCCCAAGACCACCAGGTCCAACACTCCAGGATCAGCTCCAGATCATTTGAAGTTGATACTTGGGAAGAACGAAACAACATTGCACACTTTAAATATATATATATATATATTTACATATATATCCAATTAATTATCCTGTAATATCCATATAGGTATAAATAACCCAAAGGATTATCCTGCAGCCTCTGGATTCTAACCCAAAATCTATGGCAAAGACAATTATTAACTATTAATTAACTACATATTGGTTCTGCAGTTCTTGGGGGGAACTGCTATAAATTCACTAGAATTAGGGTTACATTATATTTATATAATTTATATATTTTTTATATTATATATATATAAGGCTTCACATTATATGTGAAATTTTAAGCTGTTTTATAATACCTAAATGGGATATTTTGAGAACAATGCACATTTTTCAGCTCTCTTGATTAATGATTTGTTTGATACAGGGAGTACCTTTAGGAACATGAATATGTTCCAGGTTAAAATCACGATTTCAGCAAGTGCTGGGGAATATTTTTAATTTAATTTACTGGCAAAGGAAGTTCACACCACCTCAATTAGTTACTGTGGGTTTAAGTAATCGCAAACCTGGCAAAACTTGGAGAATCCCAGAATAGTTTGGCTTGGAAGGGACCTTAAAACTCCTCCAGTTCCACCCCTTGCCATGGGCAGGGATGGAACTTCCTTGATTGAATTCCCAACTTCTTGCTACAGATCCTTCATGGCCAGCATTCAAATGGAGCTGGGATTGTTTCCCCTGGTATTGCTGAAATATTTGGATGAGCCTGACTAGGATTTACTGGCTTTAATGGATGGCTTTAAATAAGTGCATGTCAAGTAGTGTTTTACTGCAAATCCTTGGCTAGAGTAGGGGAAAAATTCCAAAAAATTCTCTGGTAGAAAGAAGGAAATCTCGGGAATAAAATCAAACTTGCCTAATGAACCAAAAATATTGAAGTGCTGCACTGGAGATGGTATGAAAAGCAAATATACTGGGAACTCTGGGGTATAAAAATGAGGAAAACATAATTACCTGGTAATGATACCAAATTAATAGAACTCTATGGTTTCTTTTATGTTGTGAGCATTGGAATGTTGGATGTGCATAAAGCTGCTCCTGGCTTTTATTTGTGGTGTTTAATGGTTTAAAATTCTGCACTCGAGGCTACGTGGGAGACTGAGCTGTGGCCACAGGTCTGATTTTGCCTAAATCAATACATGAAATAAAGTATTAATGGGAGCTTTATTTGTATAATTTGATGCAAATAATATAATTTAAATATGTGATTATTTTACGTAATTATACAGATAAAATTTTCTAATAAAATTCATAGTATTTATTTTAACTATGCAATTATTAGGTACAATTATATAAATAAAATGGTAATTACGTAATGTAATTTATTGTATTGGATACCTAATGTAATATAGAATAGAATACAGAATATAATTGTATGAGATCTCTAATATAATCTATTGGTTAACTAAAAGATAAAACCCTGCCATAGCCTGGCTGATTGATGCCCACCAGCCTCGGGCTGGGAAGAGGTTTTCATTGGAAGTGACAGGTGCCCCAAGGTTTATTTAGGACAAGCTCAGCCTTGTCCTGGTTAGTTTGATAATGTTTTCCTTATGGATGTTCCAGCACTGCATTTCCTGCGTTAGGGCCTTGTGTTACACCAATATTCCTGTCTGGGCTGCCTCAACTACAAATTGGCTGAACAGCCCGTGACACTTTTTCAATATTATTACATTAAACCAAGTGGATTTTGATTGATAACCTAATATTCAACTAATGCAAAACATCAATCATGGCAAGTATATTAATTATTTAATATTGCAGCCTAATTCAGGAATCGATGTGCTGCAGGAGGGGAAGGGAAACTCGCTGTTCCCAGAAGGTTTGAGACAGGGGATGATTAAAAAACAGCCCCACCAAAGCCAGCTCTACTCCCGTGTGTTAGTTCGATACAAATCTTTATTCATTTGCCAATAATCTCCTCACATTTTCCACTTCAGGACCTTTTTTATCAGTTTTGAGGCCTGTAATTGAATTAAGGCTGCTTTCAGCACAAATATTGATGGCAGGGAGCTCCTCCCAGCCCTGCCCTGCATCCCTCTCCCAAAGCAATTCAACCTTCCGAGGCCAGGTGGCACCTCCGAAATGGATCATGGAATCATGGAATGCTTTGGGTTGGGAGATGAAATCCCAGCCATGGCAGGGACACCTCCCACTGTCCCAGGTGCTCCAGCCCCAATGTCCAGCCTGGCCTTGGGCACTGCCAGGGATCCAGGGGAGCCACAGCTGCTCTGGGAATTCCATCCCAGCCCCTCCCAGCCAGGAATTCCTTCCCAATATCCCATCCAATCCTTTCCAAGCTCCATGGGAAGCCATTCCCTGTGTCCTGTCCCTCCATCCCTTGTCCCCAGTCCCTCTCCAGCTCTCCTGGAGCCCCTCAGGCCCTGCCAGGGGCTCTGAATCCTCCTCCAGGCTCAAGATGTGGGAGACAATTTGGGATAAATCCCATAGGGCTCAGAAGAATACATTCTTCTTCCAGATTCAAACAGCAAAATTTTTATTTTTCCCTCTCTCACTTCATTAAAGACATTTAAATAGAAAAAAAAAAAAAAAAAAGCTGCATAGCAGATTTTTGGAAAAGCTTTAGGAAGTGGTAAATAATTAGAAATTTTAGTAATTAGTAACACTGTGGAGTTAGCTGCTTCCCTGCAGTCCTCACGGGCTGGTTTCTCCTTCTTTGCCGTGACAGTGACCCACCTGCCAGGAGGTCATTTTGGAATTAGATAAAACCTGGCACTGCTGGAAGCAGGAACCATCTCCTTGACCAGTGGATTGGAATTTGGGGAATTTTTAATTTCTTTTCCATTGGATTTCTTTTTTTTTTTTTTTTTTTTTTTTTTTTTTTTCCATAGCAGGATATGTTAAGGATTAACTTTCCCTCTGTATTTTTGCTTTTCAGAGCTTTTACTTGGATACTTTGGTTCTTTATTTTTATTTTTTTTTTTAGGTTCCTTTATGTGAAATTATTCCTGTTTTCTCTCTGTACATTTGTACTTTTTGCAAGAATGGATGCCAAGCTCCAGCATGGCTGCCACGAGCCATGGAATTAATCACAATTCCTTCTCTCCATCACCTTGGAAAGGAATTTCTGGCAAAGCAGAACCAGGAGGCACCAAATGTGGATTTGATAAACAGCCCTGTGCCCTGGCCTGGGCCTGATTCCTTCCTGTGTAAATAGTGGGATAATTAGATTTATAATGTGGATTTTAAACGTGTATCCTGTGGCATTGCTACTGTTTATAGCAATTTCAGGTCAGGTGGCATCTGAGGGTTTGATTCTGTCATTGAGCATTAGGATAACCAATATTTTTTGGGTTTTACAGGTAAATATATGTATTAAAATAAAAAAAAATTGACACACTGGAGAAATTCCCCAGCTTTGCCATTTCAGAGTTGAACAGAAATCGTTGCAGACAAGGGTTTAGCAACTATTTAGAACTTTTGTTCTTCTCTTACAGGGACTCTGCAAACATCAAAGCTGGATTAGAACATCTGGTAAGTTTTAATTTTCTCTTGAACATTTGCATCATCTTTGATATCTGCATTCCAAATGAACACTTTTGAATGAGCTTTGAATACCTTGAATTGAGAAAGTCAACCATTTCCCAGAGGGTTACGATACTGTTATTATGTGAAGGCACTCACATTTTCATTTATCTCCTCATTTCAAGGGAATTTTAATTTTTTTAAATTACTTTTTTTTGATGTCGAGATGAAATAAACTGGACTACAATCCTTGGATTGATGATTGCCTTAATTATAAACAAAAATTGTTTGGTGTTGGATTTTTGGCATATCCTGATCTGAAAACAACAAACTTGTGATTAAAAAAAAAAAAAAATTAAAAAAAAAGAAAAAGCCAGGGACACAATCAAATATTGCATGCATAAATATGGTGTGTTTGAGTCATTTGGAGGCTTTGAAAGAAGTGCACAGCTTTGTGTTTCCTCTTGTCTTTGCTTTATGAATAATGGATCGACTTAAATTCCATTCAGGGCTGCAGTAGGAAATAATAATTGAGGCGCAAAATATTTCTGGTTTAAGTAAACATATTAAACCCACAAGTGATGGCAAGCCAGGCTTAGCATTAAAAACTCATCAGTTGATCAAAACTGGGGGAAAAAAACAAATCTTGTCACAAGTCAGAAGCTGGTTGAGCCTCACATGTTGGTACCAGCAATCAGTGGAACATTAAATAGTTCATATAAAGTGATTATTAAATCCCATTAAATGAAAATATTCGCTATTAATGGCACATCCATGCTGAGAAGGGTTTAATTTTTTCATGGAATATCTAAACAATCCCTGCAGTTCCATAGTGCTGTTAAGAACACGGTGTGTCGCGTGGGACAGAATCGATTCCCTCCTGTTGCTTCCCATTTTGGGAATCACTTGGGAAGGATTTGTAGGAGCTTGGGTACCTGTATCTCCTTGGAGAGCCTGGTGGGGTGGAGAATCCTGGTGGGGTGGACAGGATGGAGAATCCTGGTGGGATGGACAGGATGGAGATCTTGGTGGCATGGACAGGATGGAGAATCTTGGTGGCATGGACAGGATGGAGAATCTTGGTGGCATGGACAGGATGGAGAATCCTGGTGGGATGGACAGGATGGAGAATCCTGGTGGGATGGACAGGATGGAGAATCCTGGTGGGATGGACAGGATGGAGAAGCTGGTGGGGTGGAGATGCTGGTGGTGTGGATTTCCTGGCACAGCTCTCAGGAGCTCCCTGTTTCTAAAGATGCCCTTTGTGAAATGTGTTGTGAATCATCAGATGGAATTAAGAGCAGAGTTCTTGGAGCAGCTGGAAAATCCATCTTGTTTGCTGCTTCCAGGGGTGTCTCACCTGGAACTCACCTGTGGGTTGAATCCCTTAAATAAATCTTAGGAAGGTTTTGTTGCCCTGCTGGTGGCAGGGAGTTGTAATCCAGGGGTTTCCCGGGATTTTTCTCGTGCATTATGAAGCTGCTCCCCTCCTGGCAGATTGACCGTGGCTGGGGGCTTCTTCTAAACTGAGGTTTCTGGAGCTTCAGGGCTGATTTAAAACAAGAAATATTCCCAAAAAGTGGGAAGGAAGAGGCTCTGTGTGCCTTTGGAGTAGCCTGGGGGAGGTGGGAAGCAGGAAAAGAGCTGAGTGGTGTTTAGGGTTTCTCTGGGATAGGGCCAGAAGGTACTGGAAATATCCCCTGTGGAATGATGATGCCTGAAGAGCTTTATGGGTTAACTCACAATAATTTGGAATAAAATTCTGTCTTGGTTGAATAAATTGGCTGCTTTTAAATCCCAGAACTGGGCAGGAAGAGACCTTAAAGATCCCTTGGAAGGGATGTTAAAGATCTCATTCCACCCCCTACCGTGGGCAGGGAATATTTCCCTGAAAGATCTGTCAAAAACCTGTGGATTTGAGACTTTTTTCCCCTTTCCACTTTGATCTTAGAAAACCTGTCCTGGGCATGGCTGCTCAAGGAAACAAACTGTTTCCCAAGGCACGCACAGGTAGGAATATTTGTGCTGGAAATTAACTGTTCCATACCTCAGCATTTTGTTCATAAAGACTTTTTGGACTCCAGTAAATCTGGATTATTCCTCCAGAGATTTAAGCCACATGATTCCAGCTCTACTGCTTTAATTCCTGCATCTCCAAATGCTTGCAAGGAGGTTTTCCCCACCTTGGGAATCTTTATCTTGATTTGATAATGTGTTATTGAATCCCTTCTTAAAACAAGGGTGTTCTACAATTTGGGATTTACAAGAGCCTGGACTGAGGACACAGGGAATGGCTTCAAATGGAAAGGAGTAGATTTAGATGGAATACTGGGAAGGAATTGTTCCCTGGGCCTTGGAACAGGGTGCCCAGAGCAGCTGTGGCTGCCCCTGGACCCCTGGCAGTGCCCAAGGCCAGGTTGGATGGGGCTTGGAGCACCTGGGACAGTGGGAGGCGTCCCTGCCATGGCAGGGGTGGGGCTGGAGGGGCTTTAATGTCCACATCTTTCTTTGATCTGGTCAACCAAAAAAAAACCCCAAACCCCAGCCAAGAACCCTTCTCCTTTATTCGGATATTTGTTGATATTTGATCAAGTATTTATTTTTATTAAATGTCAGTATTTATCTCCTGGCTGTCACTGGGTTTTCCATGGAGTTTGGTTGCAGTGCTGGCCCCTCACTGCTCGTTGCTCTCGGAGTTTCTCCCTGCAGTGTGCAGCTCTGTGGTCCTTGGGTCTGACAGAGTCCTTGGCTTCCTAACGAGCTGTAAACCAAGCAGCCGATCATTTGTGCTCACAAACAATTAATTAACGCTGTTAATATGAGTAATTATGTTTATCTTGCTGTCCTGGCAAGGTTCCATGCTGGTCAATTATGCTCTGCAGGCTTGAATTGTCTCTCGTGTCTCTCTTGAATTGTGTCTGCCTGTTGTCCCGTTCTGAGAGGGAGTGAAGGTGGGGGTGGAGAGTTGTCCCACCTATGGCCAAAGTGACATTTGTGTCCTGGGACATTCTAAATTTCCCTTTGGACAGGCTGGAGAGCTACTGAGTGTCCAGCTGGAGGCACCAGCTTGGAAGGTGCTTTGTGAGGAGCAGTGCTGGCTCTGGCTGTGTCCCCATCAGAGGGGACCCGTGGTGTTCCCAACCCATTAGGTGTCAGTGGCTGATGGACCTGTGCCAGGGTCGGCATCCCAAACGTTCCTCTTGCTCAGCAGGCCCTTGGAAATCCTTCCAGCTCCTCCAGGAGCTCTGGATCAGGTTCACATCAGGTAATCACACTGCAGGAGATCAATGGCTTATGAATATCCATGGAGAAACGCACCTTGCTTGGCTCCATCTGCCCCACAGGGATGAAATCCGGGCTGCTCCCGCAGAGGGGCTCAGTGGGTCCCCAGGATTGGTGGAGAGCTCAGCACACGGAATGTGTGTTAACCTCACGTGCACACTTTTATTTTTGGGAGGTTTTGCCGCTGCTTGTGGCGGATGCGAATCAAACAACGGTGCGATCAAGCCGTGAGAGGCAGAACGTTTTCATGGCAGGATATTCAAAGGGTTCCAGCAGTTTGTTGTTCCAACAGCGACAAATTTTGCAGGAACTTTGTAGGAGAAGCGACTTTTACCCTGTCACTTCCCATTAGCAGCGAGCTCTGAAACCAGAGCCGCTCCACATAAAACAACACTTTAATGTCTCGGTGTCTTTATTAAAAAGTAAACTTTGATCGCTCTCATTTACCACCGAGGCAGTGGTGCCTCCCCTGGCCTTTGCTGCGGTGGGCACCCCATGACCTTCCACCCCCGTGACCTCTGTGCCTTTATTTCCCTTTCCCTTTGTCACCCCGCCCATATTCACCCCATAAACTCATTTGACTCCCGTTCTCCGCTGTAAATTTGGGAAGGCCGATGGGAGCGTCCCCAGCTCGCGCTCCGCGGGCGGGTGAGGCGGTGATCAGCTGAAGTAAATAACGCTGTAAAATATAAAGAGCGTGATTTTCCCTGGCATCTGCATAAAACCCCCGGCACGTGCGGGTGTTGTTTCCAATCGCGCCGGCGGTTTGTTCGCAATTCCCGTAATTTGATCGTGGCTGATGAAAAGCTGACAAGATTTCCACAGCGCCCCATTAGATGAAAGCAGCATGAAACCAGAGGTTAATCTGCAAACAGATTTTCCTGCTTATTACTCTAATGATTCCATCAGATTTGATGTAGCAGGCTGCGAGGCGTCTCTCGGCAGCAACAGTGTGCTGGGGTTTGATCTCGGTGCTCATTAAATGATGGAGTAATTTGGGTGACCTCTGCCCAGGTGCACATCTCCTCATAATTGCACAGCATTCTGATGGGGAAATTACTGGCGAGAACCCCGAGTATTCATCCCGCTTTCCGAGTGGAAAAACTAACAAAAGAAATATTGCATTAATTTTCAAATGATGATATTACATTTAGTGCCTGGGCCCCATATATCAAAATCTGAGAACTGCTCAGTTACTCGCTGCTCTTAATCTTAATGGTATCTGTGGATGTCAAGGGCATGGAGGAAATTAAATCGGAAAGTGCAGATAGACCTAAGAAGACATTATCTCTTGATGATTGCAGTTTTGATAGGTATTTCAGTGAATTTCATTTTCGCAGAATGGTGGAAGATGAGTTAGCCACCAGATTTTCTCATTTTTCTTCCCCGTGATTTATGTGAGTTGAGTATAAAACTTTTTATGGGAGTGCAGTTACGGCGGATGAGAGGTAAATTAATGCGGCGGGTTTCCATCTCGGCCCCGCGCGCGATTGTCAGAGCTGTACATACGTAATGGGGCCCATCATTATTCAGGGTTGTTTACATTCAAAATATGTAATGAAATCTGTTCAGAATAATGAGGGAAATAAAAGTTTAGAAAATTGTAAAGGTCATGAAGTTTGAGAAATGATGCAATGCTCCCAAAATAACATTTAGGCAATATAAATTACATTATTATGCACCAACTCTGCCTTATAGAGACATGAAGATAAAGTGCTTTCGACGAG